GTCATCATTTAAGGGCATAAATGGCCACCACTATTTAAGTGCCCATTGTTGCATAGATGTTTTTAGAAAATTTTATTGGATCTTTTACAAGAACATATGCTTAATGTACACTAAACAATTATCAAAGCAGTGCCTCTTCCAGAAAACCCCATGTACTCTGTGGATCACCTTTTGTCCAACTAGGTATTCTCAGTTATACTTGTAGGAGACCAGATCAGGCTTGCTCAGGATTAATTCACAGCACATTGGGAAGGGAACTAACAAAAGTGGTACCTGTGATTTGGGAAGCACTACTGTCAAAGTCAGGGTCTATCTAGGTCAGGGGTCTTATTCTCTGGTCTGCTTTGTTTGTTTAGGTCAGGACAGCCTTACTGGTTCGGCCCTTTGACTATCTCGTGTTATTTCTTTGGCATTTTCACTGTTCACAGTTGCTGACTTGTCTTCTTTTGATGTGCTCAGTTTTTGATAAGGTAAGACTCACATGATAAAATGCAAATTAAACAAATGTGTATTCAGTGAAGTGTAAGCCCTCCTGCCCCGCAGCTGCAACTGCTATGACCACCTTCTTGTGAATCTTCCCAGAGTGAGTGTATATGTACGTAAGCATAAATGTAGGTATTTGTATGGTCTTGGGGCCTCCCATCTGGCTCTTACCACCAATTTTTGTGTCCTTTTGCTTATCTTCAACTACTACAATAGTTCATTTCTCTGGAGTCAACTCTATCTGCTACCTTGTCCTGGCTTTACTATTTTCTACTTCTCACCTGCTTTCAACCTGCTGCCCTGACCCAGTAAGACCTTAATCTGGGACAGGAAGAAGTAGAATTAATCATTTAGAAAGAGGAAAGCATTTTTAGTTTCTATTTTCATTGTATATTTTACAGCCCTGTAAAATTAAATTATGCCTGTTCATCTGCTATTGACTCACCATATTCCATGAGCAAACTATTTGCATTTTTCTTCACAACAACATCTTTCTCCTCAGGACACTGTGGCAACTAATGTTTTAAGATTCTCATAAAAAGTCATAATAATAAAACCTCTTCAAAGCGTAGAGAAGTATTATTAAAGAAGCTAAACAGTTTACAGACTCAATCATGCTGTGTTAGAGATTAAACCAGGTAGACTGGGAATTCATTTAGGGCACACTTACATTCTTTGTTTCCAGACATGACCACATACACAGTTCACCTAATGTGTCACCACAGAATGTAATGTGTTGGCCCAGCCATTGTGGTGCAGCAGTAATGCAAGTGCCCAGCAAGGCTGGAAGCCATACGGCTGACAGCTGGTTCAGATCTCCCAGGTTGCCTTGAAAACACTCTAGGCACATGTGTAGGCACCAGGATCCTGAAGAACACTAAGATCACAGAAAGTAGATTGCTGCATGACAAGATCCTATTGAAGGTGCTCTCTTTTGCAATCTTTCTCTGTCATGTGTACATGCTATCTATCATTTTTAAAGGAATATGATATGTTGATGATATGTTGAGGTATTTAGAAAATGGCATCATCAGATAGATGAGGGAGCAATTGATTCCAAAAAGGCAATAAAGGGGAACGAGGGAGGAAAAGTACCCACAAAATTTTAGAGATGGAAGAGACCTCAAAGATTAGTTAACCTAAGCTAAGTACCCTTAGCAGCATCCCTACTAAGGAGTTGAACCTCTGTTTTGAATATCTCCACTGATACGGTGCTCGTTATATCTCAGGTGGCTTATTTCATCTTTAGGCAGTTCTATTAGAAATCTCTTCTTTAAGCTACACCCAAATCCATCAACTATTATCTTCTACCACTTGGTCCTAGATTAAACTGCTCAGAGTGCCACAGGCCATGTAAAATCCTTTGCCAGCATCAAAGTTCTTCCTATACTCAAAACCACTCTCATGTATGGCTTCATCTTCACTTGTATAGAGTAGGCATTTCAAGTTCCTTCAGTGGTCATCAGATGACTTGTTTACTACCCACTCATCATCTGTGAGGACACAAAAGACTTCCTACCATGTAAATGTGTCAGTTTCTTTGATTGTGCCTTGTTTTGGTTTATATAAGTTCAGTAAAGTATATGAAAGGAACTCCAAATTAAAAGAAATTTGGAAATGAATCAAATATGAAGTATTTGAGAATAATAATAAAGGCCAGACTGGTAACAAAATTTCAGAATCTTAAGCCTTAAGTCAGTTAGGCTGATAGTGATTCCATATGAATAGACAACAGAAAACTGTCTCTCTGTATCTGACTCTATCACTCATGGAGTAAATAAATAAACTTAAAAAAAAAAAAGCCATGTATCCCAAAGTGATAACTCCATTTGAAAGCGCTCATTTTTTTCTTGTCCAGGAATCCTTGAATGTTATGTTGGTAAAAGGAACTGACACACAAGCATCCAGCTATATCCTAGGCATCAAGATTCTGTGAGTGTTCAGAAGATAGTTTTGGCATAGGAACACCTCCTGAAAATGTAACTCCCATTTAGAGATCTGGACCAGCTTTCATCATCAAGTCAATACCTTGAGACTCAGGGTTCTGGTTGTATTAGTGTCATATGGGGAGTTGTATAACCCAGAATGCTTAAGTAAGGGGCTTTGCTCCTTACTGGGAGGGGGTGAGAAAGAATGTGACTGTTTTGCTCTCATCTTTCTTATCCTGCATTAGAAACAAAGCACAAAGTTGACTGGAATCAGCGCTAGCATTGCCCCCAGCTGCTGAACTCTGATTTAACCAGATGCCATAACTATAGCAACAGGGAAATATTGGAATTTTGAGATTAGCATGCTTCTGAAATTTGCTAAATATAGCACACTTTGTGGTGGGGTGTACATTGTAGGTATTTCCTCTGTTTATCAAGTGACAAAGTAAGTCAGGCTTTGGAAGGACCATTTATTTATTATATCTGGTGGCTGCTGAAGTCTCCCTACCCTCTTGATCTATATCTATGAATGTGTGCTTTGATACCATATGAGATAAATCAGATTGTCCAAAGCATGGGTGAAAATTGGGCTGTTGTAAAGCCATTTTCAGGTTTGTGTGGGTGTTGGAATATTCATCTTTGGGGGTTAATGGAAAGATGCTTGGGCTGAGAGTCAGAAAACCTGTCTCAGCCTCTGTGATGAAATCATTATGCAATCTTGGGCAGGTCTCGGGTTCCCCATTTTTTTTTTAAATGCTAGGGGTTGAGCTCTTTAGCTTACCCATTTCTTGGATGTTTTGGAATAGTTAGGGTTCTGTTTCCCCCTGCTGTGTCTCTGGAGGGTCCTTACTGACACCCTTAGAATGAGGAAGAGAGATCCATATTCCAGGATTCCTGGGACAGAGTGATGAGTGATGTATAAAACGGGCTGGGGATACCTTACAGGCATTTCTCTGGCTAGAGAAGTATTCTTTCCACCCCACAAGCCCTGAAATAGGCCTATTGACTTCATGTTCTCTCAATATACCTTTCCTCACAGATGTACCTATGCAGCCCCCAGAATTAGCAAACATCCCACTTCCACCCCACTCAACAGGCTCTGAGTCCCATTTTGTCTGTATTATGTGAAATTTAAAGGACCCAGAGTCAAAGAGGTGGGTCATTGACACAGTGTAGCTGCAATTTCTTCTCAGACTCAGCCACAGTTGTCATAAATAGATCCGTGCCACCTTCCTGTGACCAACCCCTTGCCTTCTCTCCCACCTCCAGAAGCTCTCTGCCTGTCTGTTACCCAATTCTCGTTTACCAGAGAGCCTGAGTTCCTACCTTGGTTCCATACTTGATGTCTTTGTCCATTGACAACTGGAATTCTATTGTTCTTTTCAAATTTTTTGAGATTTGGGCTTGGCCACTGCCAGAACTCTAGGATTTCCCATCTGCCTGTCTGCAGAGATATCTGAGACTCTACAACACCTCCTAGCCTAATGGCCATCATAGCCCTTAATAATTTACTATTGGTCCTCACTGAAAGTGCTGCCTGCCTTGCCTGTACCTCTGTCTACTGCGTATTACTAGACTCTCTTAAAAGTGTGTTCTGTCTACTCTGTTGAAGGGAAATTACCATGCCACTCACATTTGAACCTTCCTAACACAGATTATTAGCAGCTTCTTTCTCACCTCTCATTGAAGACCCTCACCTCAAAGGTATCATTGGATCTGTCTGTTCTCTGGATAATAGATGCCCCTAGGCTGGTCTATTCTACCCCCCAAACATATTCCAGTTATAGCCCACAAAGACTATGTGGGCATTCCTTGGGCCAAGCTACCCTACCTAAGCCCAGCTCTGTGGGCTGATTCCTTAGGATGAAAGCTATTGCATCTGTATTCTTACTCATTATGTACCTGTTAACAAACAGTCTCACAGAACCTTGTAGTCAATGACTTTGTAGGCTAAATTCAAGTTAAAATTCTGAGATGGCCAATGAAGGAGAATTTTCTTTTATCTTTGCAGCCTAAGGTAGGGAGAGTGATGCTGTTGGGAATTTTGGAGCTAGGAAGAGATGGTTAGGTGAAAGGTGAGAAATATCTGTGTGATATTTTTGGAAGAAAAGTTACAAGGCAGCATTGTCAGTAGTCCTCAGCTCCTTCCAAAGTTGCTTCCAAAGTTGCTTCTGGCTTCATGAAATAACCTAAAGTCGGGGTTGGCAGGTGGCATAGTGGTTAAGGGTGCTGGACTCCCACATGGCCGACTGTGGTTCGAGTCCCAGACCTGGTGGCTTGCTTTCTCCCCCCCCCCCCATCCCTCTCTGGTCAAATTAAAATAAGTAAATAAATAAAGTTAAATAAAATAATTTAAAAAATAATGACCTAGAGTCACAGACTCATAGCAGTAGCATGTGTATTGACTGGCTGGCCATGTGTCCTTTTGCTAAAGACTTAACTATTTCTGAACCTCAACTTCCTCATATGTCAAATAAGACTTTGTAGAAGTGATATCTTTTCTCATCTACAAGCTCTCAGGAAATATCAATACCAGTTAGTGGGTAGTGTATGTGAAAGTGTATTTAGAACTGGAACAGGCCATATGAGTCATCCAGTCTTTCTTTCCACATGGGTGGGTTTCACAGACATGGAGCTCTCGCCCAGTTCTTGTGACACAGCAATGATTGGGATCAATATCCTTAGGGAATAGCAAAGTTAGAATGAAGGCAAACAGTCTGATATGGAGCTAGATGATACTAGAGAGACTGTACATAAAGCCAAGTGCTTCGGGGAGCCAGCAGAGCTGAGGCATGAGGAAATTTGAAGGAGAGGAATTTCCTGAGCTGCACTACAGGAGCTAATGCCTTCTTTTTGTTTGATGCCTGTTGGTCTAGCAGCATAGACTCAAGGTATTCTGGAAGAATTAAAGGGTAGAAGAAAAGCAGACCAAATGTTAGGGACTATTCTTAAAAGGTCTGGCAGGATATGGGACCAGGCAGAGCATACAAAACCAGCATCAGGGGACCAGCAGTTAGCGTAATGGCCATGTCGCTGAATTCCCATGTAGCTGACTGCGGTTCGAGTCCTGGACCAGGTGGCTTAAGCTCACACCGGATGCATGTGCATATGCGTACCCAAGATCCTGAGGAAAATGGAGGAGAAGGGATTGCAGCATGGCCATCCCCCCTAGGGGTGATTTCTCTCTTTCTATCTCTCTGTTTCTCTCTGTCTTTCTGGCGAGTGCATGTGACCTATAGTAAAATCCTCTACAAAAACAAAACAAAACAAAACAAACAAACAAAAAAACAGCATCAGCTAGTTGAAGGTAAACTTAGTTCAAAGGAGATGGAAAGTGGTATAAATGAATAGTAAAAATAGGCCATGTTTGGACACCATGATGGTTAATTATTTGCATCAACTTGGCGAGGCTATAGTGCCCAGTTGTTTGGTCAAACGTTAGTCTGGATGTTGCTGTGGAATCAAACTTTGAGTAAAGCAGTTTACCCTCCATAATGGTGGTGGGCCTCATCTAATGATTCACAGGTCTTATTAGTGAAGACTGAAATTTCTCAAAGAAAAAGGAATTTGGTCTCAAGACTGAGAGATTCCAGGGCTGCTTGGCCTGCCCTGTGAATTTTGGAGTCAGGCTACAGCATCAATTCTTACCTGAGTTTTGAGCTTGTCTCCCTGTGCTACAAATTACAGACTTGTTAGCCGCCCCCATCCCAACACACAAGCCAGTTCCTCAAAATAAACATCTCCCCACACACAAACACACATGATGGGGTCTTCCAAAAGTTCATTGCCAATGCATATTATGAAACAACTATATGTGGATTTCCAAAAAATGATGCACCAAAATAAACTCATATTTTAATTCAATTTTTCCATTCACTTTTTAAAGTCCCCTCATATATGCTTTAGTTTGAATGTATGCCCCCTCCAAAAGTCATGTTGAAATTTGATCACTGTTTTGATAGTATTAGGAGGTGGGAACTTTGAGATGTGATTGGGCTGTGAGAGCTTTGCCCTCATGAATGAATTAATGCCATTATCAGCCCCTTTTGCTTTTCTTGTCTCTCCTGCTCCTCTGTCATGTGAAGAATAGTATTTCTACCTTCCAGATGATACTGTGTTCAAGGTTCTATCTTGGAAGTGGAGACTGGAGCCACTGCAACAAACCTTCTGATGCCTCAATTTCGGACTTCTCAGACTCTGAAAATTACATTTCTGTTGCTTATAAATTACCCAATATGTGGTATTCTGTTACAGTAGCAGTATAAAATCAACCGAGACTGTGTGTGTGTGTGTGTGTGTGTGTGTGTGTGTGTATGTGAGCACACATGTGCATTTCTGCTATTCTGTTTCTCTGGAGAACTCTAACTGAACTGCTTCATGTATCATGAAGATAGCAATGTGGCTTTGAACAGAGACAATTGCAGTATCATGAAGAGCTTTGAATGAACGATTGTTATGAGTTCTTTGACCATAGTTGTCATTCAGTCAGAAAATATTAATCAAGTAATTCTCAAGTAATAGTAATTAATGATTAATTACTGTTTGCTAAATGACTGTATATTGCTTCATAGAGGTTGGTTTGCAAAACCCCTCTTGACTCATATTCCTTAGATGCAAATTCAGAGCCCAAGTGGAAGGACCTCATGTTCCTGTCATAGGGATTTTACTCCTCTGAGGAGAGTACTGGAGGCTGGGTATCCTCTATTGGGGGTGAGGATCTGATGAGATAGGGTTTCCAACTGTTGGGTTGATAATGGTGTCAAGAAGTACTACTGAGAGTCCTGTTATTCATACTTACTGGACTCAAGGCCATTGAAAGCACTCATTTAGTCCAGCTTCTAATTGCACAGAGCGAGAGAGTGAACCTGAGAGAGGAAGTAATATTTCAGGCCACACAGCAAGTTGGTGCTGCAGCCAGGCCTCATACCAAATCTCCTAACAATAGCTAAGGAAGAGAAGAAAGGAGAAGGAAAGAGATAGAGGTTGCTGGATAAAGAAAAGTATGGATTTTCTTTGTGCTTTCTCTATGGGCTATTTGATGAGTAATTATCCAAAGTCAGGAAGTATTCTATTTTCATAGCTGAATAGAAAGGAGAAAAAAATAGAAGAGTCTGGAAAAAAAATAAAGTAAAACAAAATAGAAAACATATTTATAAGAGCCTGTTACTGCTCAGTCACACAATTGAAAATAATCAGTATAAATGAGTTTCATTTGGTGAGTAAATTAGCTCTACTATAGACTTCTCTAGTAGCAAGAAAGCTACTACACTCAGTCCAACCACATTAGCCAAAGAGCGTTTGCCCTTGTTAAAATAATGATGCATTTTGTTTGCTTGCCACAGGACCAGAGTTTCATATTTCTCTCTCATATTTGTTCAGGAATTTGGCTATCTCCCATGAGCATACTAAACTGAATTGATTAATAAAAGCGGTGTATGGATTCATTTATTTTAACTTGACTGATGGCTTCATTTATTAAACTTTCAATGAAGTTGTAATTCTTTTGTAAAGTATAAATTTAAAAACATTGGGGGGCCAGCAGGTGGTGTGGTGGTTAAGGGCATTGGACTCCCACATGACTGATCGTGGTTCGAGTCCCAGACCTCTTGGAGGCGTGCGTTCTCACTCCCCACTCCTTGTGTGTGTGTGTGTGTGTGTGTGTGTGTGTGTGTGTGTGTATGTGTATGTGTGTGTGTCTGTTAATAATAAAATAATAATGATAAAGTTAAATCAAATAATTCTTTAAAAAATTTAAACATGCTGGAAATTCATAAATATTTTGGAATGTGTTGAGATGAATCAATAAAGATGACTCTCTTTCCTTTGCTTTCAGTATTGCTGTTTTGAGTTTACATTTTACATTTAGGATTTATTAGTGTAAATCTCCCTTATATGTCACTTAAAACATTAGGATATATATGGAATTAAATCCAATCTAGGGGAGAGTAAATTCTACTAGAATCTTCTAAACCAAAACTAGTAGAGTTTCTACCTTTAACTTCTACTATTTTGATCCCCCCTCCACCCGCCACAGCTGTGTATGCTTGCTATAGAGACACACAGAGAGAGAAAGTGAGAAATTATCCCCCAGGGGAGATGGTTATGTTACAACTCCATCGCTTCCATTCTCCTCTCAGGATTTTGGGCATGCACACAAATTCACCCTGCTTGATTTTCAAACTGCTGGGTCTGAGACTCATACCATGGTTGGCCATGTACAAGTTCAGTGCCTGAACCACTGTACCACCTGCTAGCCCAATTTCTACTGCTTTTTGTGAAAAAGCATGTCATAATGTTTCAGAAAGCTAAGTTCTACCAACATGGGGTGTTTGACTGTACTTTCTATAGAGTGTCTGGGCTCCTCACCGAGATGCACACTCATCAAAAAGCATCATTCCTGGCCAGGGTGTCAGCCTCTGCTCTGCTCCTTCTCTGTTTGGAGCATGGCAGAGCTTTGATCAGTTCTTTAAAGAGCTTTGTATTTACACCCTCTTAGAGATCTGCAGACAGAATTTGCATACCACGTTGGAATCTATGACAGTAGGCACCACTGGAATGGAAAAGATATTCATCAGCTTTCTTCTTAGTGACTTTTTTTTTTATATCTTTTCTATTTTGAGGGAGTGAAAACTGCTCCAGGTTTCTTCTCTGATCTTGCTATTCTCTCCTTATATGTTTTTACTTTTCTTTTTATATTCCTTTATCCCTTCTCAAATACCAATGTGTGTGTGTGTGTGTGTGTGTGTGTGTGTGTGTGTGTATGTGTATGTGTGTGTGTCTGTTAATAATAAAATAATAATGATAAAGTTAAATCAAATAATTCTTTAAAAAATTTAAACATGCTGGAAATTCATAAATATTTTGGAATGTGTTGAGATGAATCAATAAAGATGACTCTCTTTCCTTTGCTTTCAGTATTGCTGTTTTGAGTTTACATTTTACATTTAGGATTTATTAGTGTAAATCTCCCTTATATGTCACTTAAAACATTAGGATATATATGGAATTAAATCCAATCTAGGGGAGAGTAAATTCTACTAGAATCTTCTAAACCAAAACTAGTAGAGTTTCTACCTTTAACTTCTACTATTTTGATCCCCCCTCCACCCGCCACAGCTGTGTATGCTTGCTATAGAGACACACAGAGAGAGAAAGTGAGAAATTATCCCCCAGGGGAGATGGTTATGTTACAACTCCATCGCTTCCATTCTCCTCTCAGGATTTTGGGCATGCACACAAATTCACCCTGCTTGATTTTCAAACTGCTGGGTCTGAGACTCATACCATGGTTGGCCATGTACAAGTTCAGTGCCTGAACCACTGTACCACCTGCTAGCCCAATTTCTACTGCTTTTTGTGAAAAAGCATGTCATAATGTTTCAGAAAGCTAAGTTCTACCAACATGGGGTGTTTGACTGTACTTTCTATAGAGTGTCTGGGCTCCTCACCGAGATGCACACTCATCAAAAAGCATCATTCCTGGCCAGGGTGTCAGGCTCTGCTCTGCTCCTTCTCTGTTTGGAGCATGGCAGAGCTTTGATCAGTTCTTTAAAGAGCTTTGTATTTACACCCTCTTAGAGATCTGCAGACAGAATTTGCATACCACGTTGGAATCTATGACAGTAGGCACCACTGGAATGGAAAAGATATTCATCAGCTTTCTTCTTAGTGACTTTTTTTTTTATATCTTTTCTATTTTGAGGGAGTGAAAACTGCTCCAGGTTTCTTCTCTGATCTTGCTATTCTCTCCTTATATGTTTTTACTTTTCTTTTTATATTCCTTTATCCCTTCTCAAATACCAACTGATGGGATGTTTAAGTGACTTTCATCCATTCATTGAAGTATTTACTGAGTACTATTTTGTATAAAACACCATGCAACATACTAAGTTTTTAGAGTTATTCTTTTTGGGTGTTACTTTTTAAATTATAAAAATAATACACATTCATGGTAAAAATACAAAAAAAAATCTCTATGTGTATATAGGAACATATACATATGTACTTACCATATGCTTTTCTAGGAAACACAGATTGGAGCATGCTAACCACAGTTTTGTATATGCATTTCCATGTGAGTCTTGGCATCCTTTCCATGTCAGCACATGTGGTCCTGCTGATTCTCTCAAGGGCTGCATGATTGAAATGTAACTTTGGGAAATTTTGAGATTTTGATGAGTTTTCTTTATAGAGAGCAGATAAGATGGCCAATTATGAATGTATACACTCAGCATTTATTCATAAAGTTTCTTTTATTTTGTCTCTATATCGAAAGTACTACCAAGTTATGCATTCTGACACATGAAGAATTCTGTTGGCTTTTAAATGCTCCAGGGAGATCAAAAATTAGCTTGACTAGTTTCCTATTTGAAAAGCACATGTCCACACTGGCCTTGGACTACTCTCAAAGTAGCTCCCAAACCAGCCTTTAGAGCTTGTCCCAATACTTAATGATAGTTCATTTTCTCCTTTTTTATAAGATAGTTCAACTATAGCTTCAGCCAATATTTTCTGGTATAGTCTTATCAACTGTAAAATTCT